TTTTTTTTTTTTTTGTTAGTAATAAAGATTTAAGAGATATGTTCATAAAGAAAATCAACTTCTCAATAATTGTTGTTTCTTGAGTAGCAATAACTGATAATTTCCTCTCCAAATGGAAAATTCAGGAGATTAGATGCAGCATGGAAAAGAAAAAACTGAAGAGGGAAATGAATAATGTTTCAAAAAATAGGATAAGAGAGGACAAATCTAATCTGATTGCAAAATGAATGTACTTGTTCGGAAGAGTATGTTTCTCTTGGAATTTTATCAATTAAAAAAAAGATTTCACAGTTCAATGACAGTCAAAACACCAATTTTTTTTCTTTTGGAAATTTTGTTTAAAAGGCACTATGTGAGAATGACCTTGTTTCCATGCCATTATGCGTGTTATCTTCTTCACCAAATGTCATACACCCTTACCGATCTATGAAAAAAAAAGGTAAAAAAAGAAACAAGATTGTCATCATTGTTTTATCATTATTACCATCGATTTTATTATCTTCGCTGATGCTATAATAATCATACGCTAGCAGCATTGTTATCGCCATCGCCATCAACACTGCCGAAATGTCATATTCAAATAAACTTTGACCCGTTCAAACAAAAAAAAAATGAGTTTATCTCAAATTCAGCACACTGCGTTTATCACAACACACATCCTATCTATCCCACCCTAAATGTCATATTATTTTCAGATTTCCTTATTCTAAACTTTTTGAAACACTATAAATACTACATAATTCCTTCATTCACATTTATTAGTTCTTTCCGCTACTAAAAGCTATTCCCCTTTTTTTTCAATATCCGGGACAAACCATTTTATCTTGGTACCAATACATTTTTAAATACTTGAAATTCTGAATTTGAAAATTATCACGGATACGCAAAATTAACTGCACACCATTTTTTTTCTTTCTTTTTTCCCATTCGTTGCAGGATGAAATGTGCGATGACGCGAAATTCCGTCAACATTTTATTTCAAACTTTTTTTTAGCTTAACGTTTTCAATTACAGTCCATGAAAATGATTCCATTACTGTTTATACTTTCTTCAGGACAAGTCTTTCGCGTAACCAGTAAGTTCTCCTAATGAAAGACATGCATCATTATTGTTTCACTTGAACATTTCAAATATTGTATCATTACTTCCACAAGATATAAAGATGTACTTGTTTTCTTTATTTCTAATATCAAAAATAATGATAACATAAAATTGGTTATAGTAATTTATAGGTCAGGATAATAGCAAACCATATTATGGAGTACCACTTGGTGCTGTTCATTACAGTGATTGTAATACACAAGCGGAAGCATATGCTGCTAATGAATATACCATCATTTTTCATCATTTCACACATCGACCACGTCAACTAGGATGTATATATATGCTTGATATTTCACATATCCAGTAATCATTAGATCAATATCTTCAATATCACTATAATTTTTCAAATCTGTGTATTTTTGATGTAAATAATTTGTAAAAACAGAATACTTTCTGAAGTACAATGGCAATTTTCCTTCCATTTCATCGTTAAAATTATTATTAACTTTTTTAAAACTAATAATCATTTAAAACGAACTTTAAAATATCTGAAATTAATTAATTCACTTTAGGCACTTCGATGATAATTGGACCACCACGAACGACTGATCGTCATACAGTTGATGGTGGTATTTTCTTGTCAATCTCACAACCTATGGTATCATCGATATCCAGTGCTAGAAGACGTTTAACTCGTCAAGTTCCCTTTACTATTTTTGGAATGCGCAATTGGCCTGTTGAATTTGATCATCTTGAACTGCGAAAAGGTTTTTTTTCCTTTGAAATCCCAAAATAAAATATATGAAATTGAATTGTTGAGAGTAAAATTAAAAATTTTATTTTCCATTATTGAAGAATAATGACCTGTGATCTTAGAAGAGAACTGTGTAAGTAAAAATGACTTACATTAATTCTGTAAAGATGCATGTCATATTAATCATTCACAAAGATGGTAAAGAGCCGATACCAAGCCAGCAAAAAGATCCGTTTGCGGGGATTGAAATTGATATGAATTCATCGGAGGATGTTACCCCAAAACCGAAAGAGATCCATATTGAAAGAATCAGCAGTCCTGAAATTGCAGATTCATCAAAAGCAACATCAACGACGTTTGTTTGTTTTACATTTAGCATGGTTAATCAACATTGAATGTTAGTCTTCGAGAAAGATAGATCTGATCTTAATATCAAAGATAGGTTTGAGTACTAAGCATTCGTGATAACCAGGGCGAAATCCATTTTATAAATTTAGACCAATAATATGCGATCGCAATAAATATCTTCCAATCTGCTGACTTTATTAACTTACTAAATTGTCGAATTATTTTGATTTCCAGAAATTCTAACGCAATTTTTCCCTCAATCATTACGACTCCAAATGACTTTTCTTCCGAATCAATAAACGAAATAATACTATTTGACACAAATGCGTATGTTTTTGGTATTCTTCAATCCATAGGTATGCCATTTTGACATCATTACGTGCGGAAATCATCTTCCTCCATTCTGCATTATTTCAGAACCAATATCTTTGGTAGCAGTGAAGTATCGATAAGAATTCGCGATGAATTTGAACAATTAAATCCCATCACCGATAGCATCATTGCAAATACAGATACAACAACTATGATTAACAGTAATTGAAATTTCATTCATCGTTTTTCAGTGAAAGAAATGATCAGGAGGCTAACAGGAGAGATAAGCCAGGTAAAGGTAATAGAGGAGAGGAGAAAATCAAGTTTCGATAAATAATGCTTAGATTAATATATATATAAAATAAAATAATGGTTAGTATGATAAATATAATAGTTAGATTAAAACTAACGTCGGATTTTACCGATTTTTGGAAATATGATTTTAAGTAATCGAAGACTAACTAATATCTTGTTAATCCTCACAAAGTATCAAGTAGTGCATGTCTATTTGATTTTCCCCACTTTTTATTTAAAAAAATTACGATTTTTTACGGTCAGTAGAAGAATTAACGTCTGATAGTATCAAATCGACAAGGAGTGAAAATGAAGATTTCCATACTGATCCTGAATTTCAAAGTGGTGACAGATTGGAGACTGCAATTCCCATAAATGATGCTTTGAAGTGAGTATTTGTTGTATGAATGCCAACATTTTTATGAAGTAATCGAAAGTTTGAAATAAGTATAAATGGTATGCAT